AGTGATCAGCCGCAACCATGATCGTTTCTTAGAATTTTTTTAATGATCTGCACGAGGCATGCCATAATTCGATTGGCTATTTCATGCTACTCCTTGCAAAAGGCTTTCAGACAAGTGAATATAATGTATGCCAATGTGGTCACCACAGATGTTTCCACATCCGGCTCCATGGAGTAGTCAATGAGTTCGCAAAACTCTGCTTAAGAAGTGGATCCTTTTCTTGGTTTAGTTCAACGGTGATAATTTTTGACTCTGACGATATCTGTCATGACGGTCAGACGGTTCTGGGAATATATAACTTATTCACATAATTCAGCATTCTCCATCCATATGTGATCATTTTCAGGTTTCCGATGGGTCCATTTCACGAATCCCTTCGAAAGGAAAAGTCGACTCACATTAAGGATGCATGTAACATGGCCTGCTCAAAGTGTTCTATAAAATGCTATTGCTCTATTTCTTGTATGGCCAAGGCCTGAAAGGGGCTCCTCAACCGATTTATTTTAAAAGGCAGAAAACGGAATTAGTATCGTTTTCTGAGTTGGTTTGTCGCTTAATTTTTTTAGATTTTTCATTCTCAAAAAGGATCTGTATCCTTTGAGCATTCTTCGGCATTAAGGGACACTTGCGCGTGTTCATGGACATGTCAATAAATCCTGGATAGTTGCGCCCGGGGGGGTTCATTATCTTATCTCTTTTTTTCTCAACTCTACACTTTGCCGAGACCGATGCATGTCGGTCGCTTCAGGTTCTCCCGAGCTTCGCCATTTGTGGATCAATCCAAGTATCTTGCCACAAAGTGATTCGTAGAAGCTACGTGTCACAAATGACCCTTAGAGGGGGCAACTACATCTACTTCCTCTTATGACTTTTGTGGGCAGCATCTCCGGAATAAATGGATCAAGTGATCAGTTTCAGTCTTTATGTCGCCGTGAAACAGAACGGGGTATCTTGGCGATAACTTTTTATGGTACAAATTACAATCTGTAGTTCCGAGAATTGTTCCTGCAATGCCGAGTTTTCCGTCTATCCGAGCTCCATTGAGTTAATGACTACTCTGGCTCGAAAGGCAATGGAAAAATTTCCTCACTCCAAAGTGATTAGCATAAAATTAGAGTAAAATGAGGTAAAGTTGGACAGTGTTCTATTGGCTGGCTATAGAAATGGAAAGAGGCTCAATTTTGATGAATATCTTAGGATAAGCGTGTTGGAAAGATTTTAATTTCATATGAAAGTGTATAATGGAGAGGTTCGTTGGTTGATCACACCGCAAAACGATGACCAGTTTCATATATTCTGCAGACGTTTAGCTTTAATACGACTTCCATGCTGACGCAGTACAAGAGACAATATCACCTTGGTTGAAAATTTGCAGTTTTCGTCCATCAACCTATAGGCATTATCAGAGCTTGCAATCATTGTCTAGATTTGTAATTTTTAATCTATTGACTCGACTGAGAGTATATAAGTAGTAAGATGAAGCCGGATAGTGTTCTTGGTTTAGTATTAATGTGAGACTTACAAGAA